AGAATTAATTTCTTTTTGTAATTCTTCACCTTAACCATATGTATTGTTGAGTGTATACATGTTCAAGATTACCATAACTTCCAGAATAATTTTTATTTGTGAAAATGCTTTTTTGGTCTAGTTTCTCTTATGTTATCATAGCTATGGAGCTTTCTTATATCTGGCTACCTTATCAACAATATGTATTGTTGAGTGTATACAGGGTCAAAATTATTATAACTTCCACAATGATTTTTATCTGTGAAAATACATTTTTGGTTTAGTTTCTTCTATGTTATTGTAGCTATTGAGCTTTCTTTTGGTTACTAAATATCTGCATATAATGTATTTTCCAGCCCTTTAGTTCAATCTTCACATGTCACTATATTTTAAAGATGTCTTTTGAAATAACAAAAATAGACCTTGTGCAGGACTTGGGGGAAAATTCTTCCCCCTAAGTCGGAATATCTCTGTCTTTTACAAACAAGCTTAATCCGTTTATATTTATTGTACTACATTTGGACTTATTTATGCTATTTTACTTTGAACTTTTATTAACCATTATTTCTCTTTTACTGTTATATTTATCCTTTCTTGTCTTCTATTAAGCTGATTGAGTTTCCTTTATTTTCTCTTTTCCTTCTACAAGTTTGCATATTATATGTTTTAATTCTACTTTTAGAATTAACTCACCCTTTAAGTTCTCAAAGTACTCTTGATGTTAAAAGTCCACAGTTAATTAACATCTCTCCCAGTTCTAGGATCTTCTGTTCAGAACTTAGCACATTTCTGGCAACTAAGGATTGGCAACTGTTAAAAAATGTCATTTTCCATTATATTTTTGGATTGGTTATTGCTAATATATAAAAAATGTTGAATTTTATAAATGAATTTTCTATCTGGTCATCTTATCAAACTCTTAATAGTTCTAATACTTTAACTGTCTTGGGTTTTCTAAGTACTTAATTAAATTCCTCACATAGAATGATTATTTTTGTCTTCTTTTTTCTGACAATTGTATGCCTTATCTATGTTACCAGTTTTATCAGATCACTAATAATGAGGGTTCTTTTAAAGTCAATTGGAGTGAGAAAAACCCAAAGATGCCACTAAGTCTTTGAGTGTCTTTGGGGAAGAAAAGGTAGATTTAGGAAAAGAGAGACAAAAGGCAAAGTGAACAACTAAGACAATACCATATATCACAAATTTAGGTTTGATTTAATGATGGCTAAGAAAAAATTTGTAATTGTATATAAAAGTGTATTTGTATATAGGATAGTTTAAATACATAATAGGTGATGTGGGCAGCCAATAACAACCAAAAATCACTGGAAGTATTCAAATTCAACCATGGTGATTTGGTTGATAGCAACTGGAGAACCGACCATGCTTCAGTAGACTGAAATCCGTTATAATCTATTATTGTGAATATAGGTGACAGGAAACAACCGAATACAGTGTTCTCATAAATAGTTCTTAGAATATGAATTCAAAAGAAACTCTATTTCCTCATTCTGACACAATCAAGCTTAATCAATTAACATTTTAAGTATTGTTTTTCAGCTTAGAAAGTTGGCTGGGTTTGGTGGCTCACGCCTGTAATCCCAGCACTTTGGGAGGCCAAGGCAGGTGGATCATGAGGTCAAGAGATCGAGACCATCCTGGCCAACACGGTAAAACTCCACCTCTACTAAAAACGAAAAAATTACCCGGGCTTGGTGGTGGGCGTCTGTAATGTTGTTGCCCAGGTTGGAGTGCAGTGGCGTGATCTCGGCTCACTGCAACCTCTGCCTCCAGGGTTCAAGCCATTCTCCTGCCTCAGCCTCCCAAGTAGCTGGGATTACAGGCACCCACCACCACGCCCGACTAATGTTTTGTATTTTTAGTAGAGATGGGGTTTCACCATGTTGACCAAGCTGGTCTTGAACTCCTGACCTCAGGTGATCCACCCGCCTCGGCCTCCTAAAGTACTGGGATTCAGGCATTTTTAAGATGTAGGTTAAATGAGCAAAGATGCAAATTAAATGAGCATTCAGAGAAAGAAAGCCAAAGAGATGAGGAACCAGGAGATTGTGATTCTTACGATACCAAAAATGAAATTTTAGGCAGGAGAAGTCAAAGGAACCAAGTGCAAAGCAAATTTTGAGGAGAATGAACACTACTGGGCTTGGCCACTAGGAGCTTCTTGGTGCACTTTGTAAAAATAGTTCCAGTGGAAGCAGAAGACGCACCAGAAGGTCATGGGATGAGTGGTTCGAGAGGAAGTAGAAACAGTGAGGCACACGACTCTCAGGAGGTATTGACTTGTGAGGAAAAGAGGACTGATTGCTGGGAGGACCTTTAAGTACCTGGGATGCTCATCAGTTGCGGAGGGGACCCGGTGAGACCCTCAGAGAGAGGGTAACTGGCGGGGGGCACAGTGCATAGTGGGGGAATTCACCTTAGAGAGAGAACCACAGAAAAAAGAGCAAATGGGCCGGGTGCGGTGGCTCACACCTGTAATCCCAGCACTTTGGGAGGTCGGATCATCTGAGGTCAGGAGTTTAAGACCAGCCTGGCTAATAAGGAAAATGCAAAAATTAGCTGGGTGTGGTGGCGGGTGCCTGTAATCTCAGCTACTCAGGAGGCTGAGGCAGGAGAATCGCTTGAACCTGGGAGGCGGAGGTTGCAGTGAGCCGACATCGTGCCACTGCATTCCAGTCTGGGTAACAGAGCTAACCTCTGTCTCAAAAAAAAAAAAAAAAAATAGAAAGAAGGAAAGAATAAAGAGCAAATGATGAGTGCAAATGGGGAAATTTTGATATGTGAAAAAGGAAAGTTGAGGGAGTGCAAAAGCCAAGGAGAAAGTTGAGAGTAAGTGAGAAAGAGCCATCAAGTGAATAAGCCACCTGACCTAATTCTCAGTATCTCCAGGGGTTAGGTGGCAGCAGAGGTAGAGGACTGTAGATTTTGTCTGCAGTCTGTAGAGGTAGCACCTCATCTTTCCATCTCTGATACTGGTCTGCACTACAAATTATGTAACTTCTTTCTTTCCTTTTTTTTTTTTTTTTTTTGTTGAGACAGGGTGTCACTCTGTCTCCCAGGCTGGGGTGCAGTGAAGCAATCTCGTTGCAGCCTCTCCCTCCTGGGCTCAAGCGATCCTCCCAACTCACACTCCCGAGTAGCTGGGACCACAGGCGCACACCACTATGCCCAGCTAAATTTTGTACTTTTTGTAGAGACAGGGTCTCTCTATGTTGCCCAGGCTGGTCTCAAACTCCTAGGCTCAAGTGATTTGCCCACCTCATCCTCCCAAAGTGCTGGGATTATAGGCGTGCACCACCATGCCCAGCCTAGCTGTGTAACTTTCAACAAGTGACTAAGATTCTCAGCCTACATGTCTTGATCTCTGAATGAGATTATAATACCATGCAAAGGAATGTTATAAAAAATCTTTGGTAAAATAAAAATAAAAAACTTGGCTGGGGGTGCTGGCTCATGCCTGTAATCCCAACACTCTGGGAGGCTGAGGCAGGTGGATCAGTTGAGCCCAAGAGTTTGAGACCAGTCTGGGCAACACTGCAAGACCCCATCTCTATAAAAAATACAAAAATTAGCTGGGCACAGTGATGCACGCTTATAGTTTCAGCTACTCAGGAGGCTGAGGCAGTGAGGCAGGAGGATAGCTTGAGACCAGGAAGTCAATGCTGCAGTTAGCTGTGACTGGGCCTCTGTACTCCATCCTGGGTGACAAAGCAAGACCCTGTCTCAAAAAACAACAAAACAAAACAAAACAACTCTGTACCAAAGATGGTATTACACTTTTCAGGCTGGTAAATCCAAATCTAAAGAAGCTCAGATTCTCACAAGAGTCAACTTCACCTAACCTCTGGTTCCAACAAACTCTTTCCAGTCTCCCACAGGGATTTCCTCTGGGAGTCAATGAGCTTAAGGTATTGTGAAATTTGGCTAGGGGTCTGGGAGGAATTCTTTTCATTTCATGTTACAGACAGAGCATCTGAAATGAGAAGGGACCACAGTGAGCCAGTGACTGAAACAGGAGGAAGATTCTGACACCCAGAGCTTTCCCTTCAACATTTCCTTCTGTTTATTCCTTATCTAGACTTCCATTTTCCTACCCCATAGATACCCACTCTTATGCCCCTAACTTGCCTTCAACTCCTCTACTGTCTTGTAAATGTCCCATGTGTACTTGAAAAAAGAATGGGCTCTGCTATTGTTGGAATCAAATTTGTTAATTGTGGTTATGACATTTGATTATTCTTACTGATTTTCTGTCTGTTTGACCTATCCATCATAAAGGAAGACACTGTTAAAATTTCTCATCATGATAGTAGATTTCTAAATTTATCCTTGTTTTGTCAATACTTGCTCTGTGTATTTTGAAGTTATGTTGTTGGGTGCATAGAAGTATGTAAGTGTTATGTTTTCCTGGTTCTTGTTTTGTATATTTTGAAGTAATGTTTTTGAGTGCATACACATATAGCATTTTTATGTTTTCCTGGTGAATTGAACCTTTAGCAATACATACTGACTTCTGTATTTCTATTAATGCTTTTGCCTTGAAGTCTGATGTTAACATAACTCCTTGGAATCAATTGTCCATTCTTTTAGTTTCAAACTTTTGGAGCCTTTATGCTTTAAGCATGTCTCTTACGAACAGCATATAACTGCATATTTTAAAAAATATATGCAGTCCAACATTCTTTAACTACAGTTAGTCTATTTACATTGGTAATTATTACTGATATAGTTTGATGAATTTCCACTGTCTTATTTTGTTCTTTACTTTTTACCTTCTCTTTCTATGCATTTTCCCCTTCTTTTGATTTAAGTAAGTTTTTATCCTATTTTATTCTTTTTTTCCAATAGCTTGTAAGTTATTCACTTTACTCTGTCATTTTAGATGTAATTTTTTACATTTTAACGTGAATCCAGACTTTATAAAGCCCAGATTTAACCAATACAATAGCCTTCTTCTCAAATAATAAATAACCTTAGAACAAATTGCCTCCACAAACCTTTTCTACACAGTTCCGTCTTCTTCCTCCTTGCTTCTTTGTGTGCATTTATGTTTGCTATTTGAAAGAATTTCCTGAAAGTAAAAGTGAGATTTTTTAGAAGGCTGACATGAGGGCAGCAATGGTAGACTTTCACGTGACTCCTGTCCCACCACCTTGAGCTGTGTGGTTTAGGCAACTTACTTAATCTCTCTGAACTTCAATCTCTTGCTTTGTAAAGCGGGGATGACAATATCCACCTTTCAGAGCCATAATGAGCACTGAAGGTAATATATGCAAAGAAGCAGCACATATGCAGGGATCAGATATCATAGTTATTATTACATAGATAACCCCAAATAAAGAGCCTGGGCCCTCTGACTTCTTCAAAGATAATAATCTGAACTAAACCACAACATCACACAAACACCTCCCAGCACCCAGATAGTTTAGACATAGCTCCACCTCTTTGTGAGAGATAACCTTCATCAGATAGGTGAAAAGCATGCTCCTTCCTGAAGATTATGATTCTGGGTGTTGGAAAAGCACTGAACTAGGAGTCAGGGAACCTGGTGATCTGTTGTAATCCAAGGCTTGCCACAAACTTGTGGAATGACCAGAGGCTCAGTGCTCTTATCTAGAAGATGTAGAGGTTGGCCTAAATGATCTTTAAGGTCTCTTCTCGTTCTCATATTCTATCATACCATTAAAAGGGATGTTTGACATGTTCCGTGGTATTTTATTTTGCACCCAAACCACTTACTTTCTAAAGGCCTAAACTGCTGGTTTGAGTTTCCCAAGGAAGCGAGAGACAACCTTTGATATTATGCATATCTTTGGAGTTCTTATTAAACAGTAAACCTCACCTGACAATCAAAGATAGCCTCTGGCTCCAACATCTTCTTTCCAGTCTCCTATAGGGATTTCCTCTGTGAGTCAACGAGCTTAAGGTGAAACTTGGCTAGGGGTCTGGAAGGAATTCTTTTCATTTCATGTTACAGACAGAGCATCTGAAATGAGAAGGGACCACAGGGAGCCAGTGACTGGAACAAGAGGAAGATTCGGATCTCTGACACCCACAATCTGTCTGATTCTGACGCAGAAGATGAACCACGTTAGAGCAAGAACCAGACTCTCTTTACCCAGTGGCCCAAGCTCTTGATGCATACCTGTGTCCCTTGTAAAGCTCAGTGAATCATCATCTAGACATTTCCTGTGCTCCGTGCGTTATTCTAATCTTCACTGGGTAAAAGTAGAGCTTAAAGCTCTGATATATGAATAGGAAAGAGAAGAGCGATGCAGCCTTTACCCAGGGCTGGCTGGGCTAAGAGTAAAACAACTTGACCTTGATTCATCCAAGGGGCAAAGAATCTTATCTCAGACTCAGTCCACATCCTTTATAAGCCTCTTTTTCCTTTATCTTTCATGTTGCTCATATGGGCTGCAGGGGCCAAATGAGTTTTCTTTCACTTTGAACATCAGAGAAAAAAACAACGACAAAAAGTTACTCAACCCACAAACGTTTCTCACTCACCCACCTTTCCTCCAGCCAGTGACGTTTTCACGGCACCCTGTTAGATGCTGAGTGAGAAAGCGTCGGGGCACAAACTGCTGTGGATGCAGATTGAGCAGTGCTCACTGTGCACTGGAGGCATGGGGGTCCTGTCGTCATGAAGCGGGCAGATGGAGGGAGGACTGAGCGAGCAGCCGGGACTTCGCGCACTGGAAACTCTCACTACTCCAAGTGTGGCCTGGGGATCTGCAGCCCTAGCATCATGTGGGAACTTGTTAGAAATAGCCTCAGCCTCCACGCCTGCCCTGTCAAATCCCAATCTGCAAGATCCTGGGGGATCTGCACACACGCTGCTGTCAACAACCTCAGCACCGTCCTGCTGGCTCTAGAGCAGCCAACCGGGATGTCCTTCTTCTTCAGCAGTGGCATCCACTCTCTAAAATGACTGTCCCTCACGTCTCCTTCCAGGGTTGGTATTTCTGGTTAACTCAAGGGACACAACAATTCTACTAATGAAGTGGTAAAAAGTAAAGGGATACCTTTCAGATTATGGGAGTGGAGCGGCGGGTATGTGGCAAAGTCAAATAAAGAGGGCTCATGACTCCACGTCAGGGAAGAGCCGCTGGCCTGCTGTTTATCTTTACTGTGAATGGGGTCTCTTTTTGTTTGTTTGTTTTGTTTTGTTTTCACTTAACCTCAGTGGCAAGAAAAATGTGGCCTCTTGCCCAGAGGAGCAGAGAGTGACGCGGAAGGCAAAGACCACCTCATTTCACCAAGTTCCTCGGCTTTTATTTAAAATCCAAGACATAGAAGCTGCACATTTGTCCTTCTGGGAAAAGCGACGAGTGACTGAGAGCAGAGTCCAACAGTCAAAAGGAGAGAGCAGGTGCCTGGGAGTCAGAAAAGCTGGCTTGAATCCCTAAATCTGTCGCTGTTTGTCATGGGTTAGGTCGTTCTGGTCATCTATGGCAGGAGGACTACAAACGCCTGGCTTTTCCCTTTCCAGCGGGCACACAAGGAGACAGAGAAGTTGAATCTCTAGCAGTCCATTGAAAGGGAACCCCACAGTGCAAAGAGAAGCATTGTCGAGGGCTCTTCATCTGCACCCTCCGTTCTCCCAGACCTGTTCCATGATGCATTCCAGAAGAGGTAGCTCTCCGTCACAGTCACTTGCGATTGCCAAGGTGTCAGCCAGACAAGGCAAAAGCTCCCAAGAGGTGTTACCCTTCAGCTGCATACAGAACTCTTAGAGGCAACAAATTCACAAGGAAAGATACACCCATGATCGTGTATTTCAGCCACAATGATGCAGGTGAGGTGGAAAAGGACGAGGAACAAGTGGGATTCCGTCCATGTCTGAGCATTCACGGCAAAATCCAACGTAAGATGTGGAACATGCTCAACACCAGAAGAGCTCGGTTTGACTCTGTGCCTATGCCCTTGGTGTGGGTCCCAGGCCAAAGCCCTCAGCATTTTCAGGATTAATGAAAACTGCTGGCTGTCTCTTTTTCCCTCTGCCCACATAAAAGGCACAAAAACTAAAGGCAAAGGCCACCTCACTGCAGAGCCTGTGGTTCAGGATTTTCCTCCTGGGAGCCCCGATTTCTTTTCTTTTCTCACCTTAACAGTGTCCAGAGTACTTTTATTGCCAGAATGGAGATACACCCTGCTCAGAGCCACATGTGGGGCCCACCACTCAGGAACAAAGAGAGAGACAGATACTAAGCATGCGTGCAACGGAGAAAATCCAACCCACAGAAACCGTGTGCAAGAGCGGCTCCGTCCAGCCTGAATGTGGCTTTGGGAAGCCCACTTAGAACCTGGCCTGCCGCCAGTCGCCAACTCAGAGCCTACTGCCGTGAAGGCAGGCCCTGACTCTCCATCCCTGCCCACACAGGGAGACCCAGGGCAAACAGAAAGCCCCTGGGGGGGCCCAAGGGACCTTTGGCTCTCTCAGGGTCCCATTCAAGTTTCTGGGCTAGTCCTGGCAGACTAAATACCACTGAGTTGCCTGGTGAGAGTAGGTGCTGGGCAGGGTGGACAGGAGCCCCACTGCTTCTCAGCCCTGTGCCAACCCCTTTGGGTAAGACCCTAAAGCAGGGTGGGGAGCCCCAATTTCTAAGCCTTGAGTGTTTACTACCCTACACCCCCACCTCCAACTCCCGAATTGATCATCTCAAATTTTCCCACAGTCCGTAGACACCAGACACTTCAAATACTCTCAGAGAAGAAGGTGATGTCTACATCCAGAATTGTGCCAATACTTTAAAATTACGGGGAGAAAAATATTCCCCTTTCCCTCCTCTAAGGAAAATTCTGTCCTTGTGGTGTGAGCTGGGGGAGTGCATAGAGCTGGGAATTGGAAAATATTCCGGGAGAGAATTGTTTATGTTGAGAAGACCCATTGGGAGAAGCAGGAAGTGGGTCTGGAAAGACAGGAGGAAGTGTAAAGGCAGAGAAAAGCCCTTGTTAGCTGAATTTTGAGAAGTAATTTCTAGCATTCTTAGTGAGTAAAACTAGAGAATGAGGGCAGTTGTATGCTGTCTTAAAAAATAAAAGAATGGCCGGGCACGGTGGCTCAAGCCTGTAATCCCAGCACTTTGGGAGGCCGAGATGGGTGGATCACGAGGTCAGGAGATCGAGACCATTCTGGCTAACACGGTGAAACCCCGTCTCTACTAAAAAAATACAAAAAACTAGCCGGGCGAGGTGGCGGGCGCCTGTAGTCCCAGCTACTCGGGAGGCTGAGGCAGGAGAATGGCGGAAACCCGGGAGGCGGAGCTTGCAGTGAGCTGAGATCTGGCCACTGCACTCCAGCCTGGGTGACAGAGCGAGACTCTGTCTCAAAAAAAAAAAAAAAATAAATAAAAGAATGATAATATAGGGAAAGATGATTTCAACATTTGGAGTCATATAAATGGAATCCTCCTTTGTTATTACTGTGCAAGACTTTTAGACAAATTATTTTTTATTCTTTTTTTGGATGTTGTTCTGTTGCTGCTTTTATAACACTATGCTGAGAAGGGCTAAAAAAAAATCCCAAATTTATTCCCATTAGATTGAAAAAGAGCAACCCTCCAGCGTACCTTTCCACACACTCTTCTACCTCCTGCTGCCTTCAGGTGATGTTTGGCACTTCCTGGCAAGGCCTTTCAGGGAAAAGGATTACAGTCAAGCTCTTTAGTGGTTACTGAGCTACAGACCTGGAGGTGTCATGTTTCTAAATTCCAGGAAAGATTCTTTATGAAAGGAAAGTCTGTGAGAATAAGAAGTTCTGGAACCTCCCCTTGTCCCCGCATGACCTCTTCAGACACTCAGATTAATTTATGATGACTCTGAAAATGCCCATTACCTCATCTAGCAAAACACACCCTCATGGAATTAAAGAGTTTCTAAGGTCACAAAACAGCTTCCAAGACAATTTGTCGCCTTCTTTTCAAATTGATGTGTTTAGAAATGTTCTTGGCTTGTGATTGGCATTTCAGATTCCAAAAGCATCTGTGGTCAATCCTGGCTGTTTGTGCGAATGAATAATTACAAAAGAGTTGCTAAGTATGCTTCTCATTGATTTTGTTGAGCTAAAATTACTTATAAAGAAAGGCACAGATCTGAGGCATACAATTTGATGAGTTTTGACAAATGTGTACAGCTGCATAAACGTTTTCATCACTTCTGCCTTCTGGTCAATACCTACCTACCACAAGAAACCACTGTCTGCTTTCTGTCTCTGGATATAACTTTTGTCTTTTTTTGGACTTCATATAAATGAAAGCAAAGTGTGTGCACTATTTTGTGTTTAGCTTATTTTATTCAACATAACATTTTTGAGATTTATCATTATTTCCCATATCAATAGTTCATTATTTTTTATTTTTGAGTGGTTTCTATAGTATGACTATATCATAAGCTACTTATCTGTTCTCCCAATGATGGATATTTGAATTATTGAGTTGATTATTATTAATAAAGCTACTATGTCCTAGAATGGAAGGGGCTTAATAAAAGAAAGAAGTAAATAAATATTTTATAAAAGTCTTTCTGTAGACATATCCCTTCATTCCTCTTAGATAAATACCTAGGAGTAGAATTGCTGAATTGTAGGGTAGATATATATTTAACTTCAATAAAAATACTTTCTTTTTGTTTGTTTGTTTATGGGTAGATATATATTTAACTTCAAATAAAAATACTTTCTTTTTGTTTGTTTGTTTGTTTTTGTTTGTTTGGTATTTGAGTATCAATAGAGTCGGTACTCCCTGTTGCCCCAGGCGTGGTAGTGGCAGTGCATGATCTCAGCCTCACTGCAACCTCGCCTCGGGCTTACAGTGGATTCTCTGCCTCAGTCTCCAGAGTAGGCTGGGATTGCATCCAGTGCACCACCATGCCTGGTTAATTTTGTATTTTTAGATTAGATGACAGGGTTTCTCACCATGTTGACCCAGGGTGGTCTCGATACTCCTGAAAAACTTCAAATGACTTTCAGCTGGCTTCAGCCTC